GCACTGTGAGTACCATGAGCGCTCAGACTGACCTGAGATTTGCCCCGCAAACATTTTAGCAATTATTATAGGCCGGTGTGTCCCGTATTTCTGTCGGTTAACCCATGCCGTTAATTATGAATTTATCAGTCTTTTGCATGCCAAAGTCAATTTCTGCATAGAAATATTACGCCAAATAGAAGCAGAAAATCATGCTATACGCACTTTCATGAGATCGGGTTAGCCTACAACAATTAATTTGTTGGCTATTTTACAAATGGGAATACAACAAATTCATGACAATGTTTACATTCAAGCTACCCGTAAAATGTATAGTGAAAAGTACTTTAAAAGCGTCTGGAATGCAATAAAGTAATTTTAAAGCTGGCTTTTAAAGCATTTGCTGCATGGATAAAAAATATAAATAATTATCATATCATATAAAATTGCGTTGCAGCAAATCCTTTCAATTTTAAGGTATTCAGAACAGAACAACATACAAATCAGAAAAGGCAGCTATACAATTATAGGACAAAGATTTACATATATGCCATTATATTTAGTGTTTTATTTTTTAACTTCCATCAATTATAGTGATGAAAAAATGACTGGCCATCTCCTAATTGGATGTACCTTTGGAGAGAAATGCACGGATTACATAATGAAAGAGTTTATTTTATTAGGAGTCTATTTTCGATTTGAATTATTTCATTTTAAAGTAGTAATTTAAAGCTTTCTATATATTTTGATCATGTCTGAGTTTAGGTTCATCATTGTGAAGCGCTCCTGTTCAAGACCGAGACGGCAGAAAGCGTTTGTTTTCTTTATTTTATAAAAGCACAACGTTTTGTTGATATTGTGAGTGCACACAAATAAAACTATACCCTTTACAGTTTAGAATGATGTATTACTCTTACCTTTATGAGCTAAAATGACTGCGTATTTTAAGTTTCCACTGTTAGAAAAAATGCAAGTGATCGCACTGGCGCCTCCGTGTCCTGCAGAGCGTCAGCTTCCACTCTCCGCACAAACGAGTGGATATGCACATTTATATAGGTTAAACATTTAAACTAACATTGTGATATACTTGAAGTCAAGTCCTGATGATTTGAGAAGGCTAAATTGATCAAACATAGGCTATGATCAATTCACTGTCGCTGGCCTTTACTTAAAAAAAACAAAAAAACTTACATTTAACAAACAAAAAATACTCCAAATGTTTTTCTAAATTTACTTTATAAAAAAACGAAACGAAATATAATCACTTTTCCATTACATACAAAACTGAACTATTTTAATAGCTGAAACAGTAGTATAAGCTTTTTTTGGGAAAAGGGGAAAAAAGACGGGCTATAGGGCCTATATTTGAGACCCGTGCAGGGCTTTAATCCATTTCATCCAACGCTGTTTTGTTCTCATCTGTGAGCATGCTCTTGATATATGTATTTTAGGTGTGTAAATGTATAATTGCCTTTTCATTATTTTTTCAGTTTTATTTAAATTTGTAGTTAAAACAAATAAAATAAATGTATTTTAAAGTTTAGAATTAGACAGCCTTTGCACACAGGCTTACGCTGAAAACAACAAAATGGAACCTCAAGGTTGATCTAGGAAAATGTGTGCAAATGTATAGGGCCCCATTCCTATATTTTGCCTGGGGCCCCAATTCACTAAATCCGCCCCTGCCTTGTGGTGAACCCTCTGTATTTGTTCTTGTGAAGTCTTGATTGTAGACTTTAACAGTGATATGTCTACCTCCTGGAGAGTGTTCTTCTCTTGGCTGGATGTTGTGAAATGTTTTTTCTTTACCATGGAGAGGATTCTCTGATCATCCACAACTGTCGTCCTCTGTGGACGTCCAGGCCTTTTTATGTTGCTGTGCTCACCAGTGCGTTCTTTTTTTCTCAGAATGTACTAAACTGTTGATTTGGCCACTCATAATGTTCCTGCTATCTCTCTGATGGATTTGTTTTGTTTTTGAAGCCTAACAATTGTCTGTTTCACTTGTATGGAGAGATCCTTTGACCGCATGATGTGGGTTCACAGCAACAGCTTCCAAATCCCAATGGCACATTTAGAATCAACTCCACACCTTTTACCTGCTTAATTGATGTAGAAATAATGAAGGAATAGCCCATGCCTGTGCATGAAACAGCTTTTGAGTCAATTATCCAATTACTTATGGTCTCTTGAAAAAGGGGGGAGCTACATATTAAAGCGATGCAATTCCTTAACCTTTCATGCAATTTTGATGAGAATACCCTCAAATTAAAGCTCAGAGTTTAAGCCCACTTTAAGCCCATATTCATTATATAACTGTAACTTCAAAACGTTTTGGTCACCAGCTAAAAAATTGTGCCTGTGTCCAAATATATATGGACCTAACTGTATGAACAAGTATTACTGGTCAGACCAGTAGATTGGGGCTGTATTCACAAATCATTTTCATCTTACCATTAATGCTGCCTTCACATATTGGAATCTTCCTACTTCCCACTTCTGAAGTTGTAATTACGAGTTTGTCACGTTCAAGTGCTTCGTTGTTGGAAAGAACAGGAATCATTGTGGATGGCCCATTCGTGAGCTCATTCTTGCCTGTTTCTTTGGGAAGTCTTATTAAAGCCAAAAGATACAGAAGATAATCAATTTAATCAATATCCTACAGGTTTGGAAAAAAACCCACGTCCCATTCATTGGTAACCACAATATAAACATCATCTAGATATTCAGCTGGCTGATGATTCTTAAATTTGAGTCAAATGCTATTGTCATTGTGTTAAATACATACAATATTCAATGTGTTAAATACGATAAATACAAATGTTTCTAAACATTCAGGCAGATTGCCAGCAACAGTTATTTTAAGATTGTTTGTGATTTGGTATAGTGACTTAGGAGTCCTCTTGCTACTCCTAACTTTTCACAGATTTATGAGCTGGTTTTGGTGCTAAAATGCTTTGTAATATACTCTTAGAGCAAAAATGTAGAAGTCCAAAATTCTATTTTACTCTGCAAAACAAAAGAGTTAGGAAAGGTAACATAGCTATAATACATATAGTACTGGAGAGTTAAGCCTGCCTATATGTTAACGTGACAACATACAAGCCAATTGTTTTTAACATAGATGTACAGTTCACTAAGAATTGTGATTTTGGATGACTGGATTTACTAGGCTGATTGGTTGGTCAACATGGTTCTATTAAGAGTTTAATTCGGTAGCATGTTAACTTGGTTATCAATGTGCATAATAAAACAGAACTACAGCAGACTTATCCAAAAACCTGTTTACATTCAAGAGAAAGATAATAAGTAACCGGTAGTATCTTAACAAAGCAAAATTAACTTGCTGCAAACATAAATAAATGGCTTAATAACTGAATATTGCACAGAGTACATTTAGTAACATTTCAGTCTGTGTACTTCAAAATTTCACATTTAATTCAGTGTGTTACTTATGGAAGCCTGTTTCCGCCATAAAATTAATAAATAAAATAAAATACTTTTTATCTTAAAATTCTGGCTTTTTTCTGGCAATTGCAAGATTATTTCTCACGGTTCTTACTTTTATCTTGCAAAATTTACTAGCAATTTCTGAGTAAAATGTTCTAATTTTAACCAAATTTTCCTTCAGTGTACTAATTCCATTAAATGTAAATTGAGCATTAAATGTAGAACTAAGAAAATCTATTCACAAAGAGTGAAGTTTACACCCTCATTTCAGAACTTCCCCATCTGCCACTGGCTCAAAGAAATGAGAACAGAAATGGTTGACATTGTGTTTCACATTGTTTTCACAGACTCGAGATGCCAACTTCTCAGGACAGCGAGAATTAGCAGAGAAGAACTCCAAAACGGCGCTCATCCTGAATCACATCGGCCTTGGTATTGGCCTCGTTGTCATTGTATTGTTCACTATCATCCAGATTGTGATTTTGACTGCTAGATAAAAGCTGTTAGAGCTAACATGGTTGGATGTAGATTACAAACTGTTGTTTTCTGTATTAGTTTTACTGTATTTTAAATGTTACTTTCACAATTTATCATTATTCTTATATGCATTAAGACTGATTATTGTATGTTTAAATAAACTTACATAAAATGTTTAAATGTGTTGTTCAGATCTTTTGCTTATGTTAAATATCTTTTTTACAGCTGTGCAAATTATATATATACAGTATATACAGTCATGTGAAAAAGTTAGGACACTCTATTGAATTCCATGGTTTTCTGTATCAGGAGATAATAAAAAATTATCTGGTCCTTGGAAAGTCTTAAAATTTGTAAATAAAGCCTCAGATGAACAATATCACATGACATATCACTGTCACAATACTACTGTGTCGGAGCGAGGAGAACGTAGACGAAGGAGTTTCACAAATAACTTCTTTACGTCTTTAATAATCCACAACCAGGGTAACACAGGGCAGGCAGGAACACACACGTAGTACTAGTATAGACGACACCGGACAAAGGAACCAAGGAACAGACAACACTCTAAATACAGAACTAAACGAGGGTAATTAACGGGACACACCTGAATCAAATGACATAATGAAACATGAGGGAAAACTAGGTCACAGAGCACATGGGGAAGGAAAACACACCAAAATAGGTCCATAATCCTGACATATCGCCCCCTCCCGGAAGGCGCGTCCTTGCGCCGTAGATACAACAGAGGGAGGGACGGGAGGAGGCTCGGGGGGAGGACAGGCACCCGGGAGGGGGCTGGCAGACAGAGTTCTAGGTGTAGACAATGGAAGGAGGAGACAGGAGGGGCTTGGAGCAGGAGGAGCCAAGCAGGACCCAGGCCGCAGCCATAACGGCGACCCACTGTGGAGTCGACGGAGGGAGGAGCCATGGTGGAGGAAGGGCTGACGACTCCAGGGGGCCGACTGACGCCGGCCCTGGATGTACAAAATGCGGAAACAAAAATGGAGGGGAAACACACAAATAAACTTTCTATTGTCGGTCCAGTGTTCTGTCACGATACTACTGTGTCGGAGCGAGCAGAACGCAGACGAAGGAGTTTCATAAATAACAGTCTTTAATAATCCACAACGGGACACACCTGAATCAAATGACATTATGAAATATGAGGGAAAACTAGGCCATGCAGCACATGGGGAAGAAAAATATACCAAAACAGATCCATAATCCTGACAATCACACAGAGTCATTATTTGATTAACAAAAATAAAGCCAAGATGGAAAAGCCATGTGTGACAAAGTTAGGACACCCTATGATTCAGAAATTTACATTTCAAATTTGCACATAACCTACCTGTACATACAAAATTGTCTATTTTGTTTATTGTGTTTTTGCTATTTTGTACATTGTCTATTTTGTCTATTATTCTTTTTATTCTCTGTCTTGTCTTGTCACTGTCATTCTGTTGCACTGTGGAGCTTGTCACTAAAACAAATCCCTTGTATGTGTAAACATACCTGGCAATAAAGCTCACTCTGATTCTGATTCCAGTAAATGACGGTCAGTTACAAAAAAAGGTGTGGCACTGGAGACCCCCTCAACAGCAACAGATTTTTAAGAAAAAAATCTTATTTTATTAGTTATTTTTTTACTGTTGTAGTGCTGTATAGATTTTACTCACCTTTAAATTTAACAACATGTTTTCAAGTAAAGGCTACACATTCAAATGTGCCATCTTAAAGGGATAGTTCACCCAAAAATGAAAATTCTGTCATTAATTACTCACCCTCATATTGTTCCAAACCCGTAAGACCTTTGTTAATCTTGGGAACACACATTGTGATATTTTTGATGATATCCAAGAGCTTTCTGACCCTGCATAGACAACAATGCAACTGAAATGTTCCCAGGCCCAGAAACATAGTGTGGTAACACTTACTAAAGTAATACAGAGGAAATGCTGCTTTTGAATTGGTTTTATGACTGAGGCCTCAAATAGATATGTATAGAAATGCGTATACCTCTTTCTTTCTTTCTTTCTTTCTTTATGTAATCCTTGTAAAGCATGCACATATCAAGGAATAAATGTGTATCTAATCTATAACACTAGTGGAACTTCCTTTTAATCAAATAATTATTTGTCATATTTAGGACAAGCTTTTGTGGAAACTGCCTTCTCTGCGGTGACAGCGGTGACCATAGGCCTCAGTGAACAAGAGGTAAGGTATTTCATCTTAAGCTGTTATACCCAGCAGTAGTGCAGTTTTTGACTCAGACAACTCAATGCTACACTTTATTTACAATTTCAAATAATTTCTTGCAGATGCAGTATTGTTTGTTTGTTGGTTGGTTGGTTGGCAGATCTAAGAGGACACTTTGCACCCTACAACCAACCTACAATTATCCACATTTGCCTAATATTGTTTTTGTTTGGTTTTATACAGGTGTCTGATGTTGATGCAGTCTGGGAACTAGTATCTTTTGGGTTGCTGACTATCATTGAAGATGATGTACTTCTCCAAATATTGTCTACCTTGACCCTGTATCTTCTGCCATCATTGTTCAGGGTAGTATACTGCAAAGAACATTTTCCATAATCTACCTCAACCATTTGCTCAAGAGCTTTCTGACCCTGCACGGATAACAATGCAACTGAAATGTTCCCAGGCCCAGAAATGTAGTGTGGTAACACTTGCTAAAGTAATACAGAGGAAATGCTGCTTTTTAATTGGTTTTATGACTGAGGCCTCAAACAGAAATGTGTATACCTCTTTCTTTCTTTCTTTCTTAGATTTTTAAATATTTGACATTATTTAAAAAATATATACTTTTGCGAACTCCTCCAACCCAACAATAGGTGGTGGTATAACAGTCATAAATGTTCAAAATCATCATATTTCTATGTAAAATGATCAAAAATGTTTTTTTAAATCATTGATTTAGGTGGTTACAGGCTTGCTAAAAATATGTAATGTCTTTATGTGCTTAAATGCCTTAAAGTGCTTGAACGCTGATAATAGCTGCTTGCAGCTATATTTCTAATTCCTATTCATACAATCGTGAGAGATATGTTCTTTAATACAGCCTGAAATATAATTTAACAAACACATTTGGTGTTATGATTTTAAGTGTAATGATCAATTAATATGAGTTCATCTGTAGGCCTACTGAGGAATGATTTGGTATGTTTAATCTGGCTCATCTCTGTTTTCATGTAATTATGCATGCAGGAAAATTATGTAATTTGATGTACAGTGAATTCAGAATCAAAACCATTTCATTCTTTAAACAGTTGTTTTTCAATTAATTAAGAGCACCTTTTCCTCTAAAATACAGGGAGGTTAAGTTTATAACCCATTATGTAATAAGTAAATGCAATGCTGGTAGGAGGAATGAGGAAAAAGATTAAAAAGAGGAAGATTCCCAAAACAATGCTCGGGTGTGGTGAAATAATCCTCTTGACCCCCCTGATATTTCAGGTATTTCATCAGTAATACCTAAGTAAACATAAAACTACAAGTTGGTGCCTGCAGTCACACTGTATAAAGTTCTTGTCACTCCTCCCCTACAACCTACAACTCAGCTCCCCTTTGCTGGCTACTTTCATCGGCAGCACATAAAAGACTGAACCAGAGTACAGTATTTCATACGTTGCTGCAGATCACAAGGCAAAGGAAATTACAATCAAAATCCAATAAACTGAAGAATGGATCCCAGCCAGTTTTCCAATCAGCCTCCAGAGGCCTATAATTCATCTGCGAAATCAGGGTTGCCTGCAGCAGCACCACCAGCATACCAGCATAATCCTGCTGGATATCCTCCTTCCTTTCCAAACCAGCCGGTCCCCCAGGGGCCATATCCAGGACAGCCTGTGGTCACTGTGCAGTCTGCAGTTTTTGTGACCGCTGCTCCACTGGCTGATCCAGTGCCAGATTACCTGGGTTACTCCATCTTTACCATGCTGTGCTGTTGCTTACCTCTGGGCATTGCTGCGCTGATTTACTCCATCTCTGTGAGTATATTAGTTTCATTACATTTTATTGAATTTCTTTGACATTTTTATAATCATTAAGTATACAATAACATTAAGTATAAGATGTTTGTAGAATTTAATATGGTAATCCTCAAAAGTTAATGATTACAGGTGTTGTAATCATACACAGCCTCTATCAATGGTTGGTCAAAAATTCAATTTTTCTGCAATGTGGTTTGGAGAATGAATGGATGGATCATTCTGCACTGACATTTAATTCTAGAAGAAACTATATGTCTTTTTAAACAAAACAAAGTCTAAACATCATCAAAATATGTTTTATGATTGGTACAATCTTTTATTTTATATATTTTATTTGATCATATATATATATATATATATGTGTGTGTGTGTGTGTGTGTGTGTGCGCATGTATATGTATTAGGTATATTACTCACTCATCAAAATGTTTCTATGTGGTTGATCTGTTACCTGAAAAGATATTGCTTTTTTTTATCCCCTACGTTGACCCCATGCTGCCCAAATAATTCTAGTGAACATGTACTTAAACAATTTATCATTTTAATAACTAGATAAAAGTAGATACAGTTGACTGCTAAATAGGTGAGAGGCTTGTTAAAGCTTAAGCTGTATTTGTGGTCACACAAATATGTAGGAATTATAAAAATGACAAGAACTTTCCTGTAACTAATTTTTCTGCAATGTGGTTTGGAGAATGAATGGATGGATCATTCTGCACTGACATTTAATTCTAGAAGAAACTATATGTCTTTTTAAACAAAACAAAGTCTAAACATCATCAAAATATGTTTTTTGATTGGTACAATCTTTTATTTTATATATTTTATTTGATCATATATATATATATATATGTGTGTGTGTGTGTGTGTGTGTGTGCGCATGTATATGTATTAGGTATATTACTCACTCATCAAAATGTTTCTATGTGGTTGATCTATTACCTGAAAAGATATTGCTTTTTTTTATCCCCTACGTTGACCCCATGCTGCCCAAATAATTCTAGTGAACATGTACTTAAACAATTTATCATTTTAATAACTAGATAAAAGTAGATACAGTTGACTGCTAAATAGGTGAGAGGCTTGTTAAAGCTTAAGCTGTATTTGTGGTCACACAAATATGTAGGAATTATAAAAATGACAAGAAC